CTGTTGTAGACCAGGCTGGCCTCGAGCTCACAGAGATCTGCCTGTCTCTGCCCTCAGTGTTGGGATAAGGGTGTATGCCATCCTGGTTTTTTTTTTTGGGCGGGGGTAGGCTGATGTGTACAACCATTTCATCCTTCCCATTGCCATTAACTTGTTTGATTTCTTTTTAGATCCCTAAGGATTCTTCCCTTACCTTCAAACTAATGAAGGTTACAAACTGTGTCCTATAGAGTGTAGAAAGCAATGTCTGCAGGCAAGTCCACCAGTGCAGATCCCTGTTTACAGACAGCTGCAGAGTCCTCGTGCAGATGAGAGCTGCCCCCCTAAGAAGGACTTTTTCAAGAAGCAGCTGTTCTTGACAACACAGCTGTGCCACCTTCCTCTTCATCCCACCAGGAAGAAGGAACACCTGGAAGTCCATGAGGCGGCGTAGTCTGTGGAGGCCACCATTGATAACTTACTAATTCAGGGAAGAACCAGAAGGACCTCTATAATTCACTTCTAATTCCACAGGTTGTCTCTGGCTGAAGCACTTTGATATTTTAACAGCATGATCAACAGCATAATGAAATTTTTATTAACCAAACAATAAATTATTTTAAATAGCATACCAAGTTTGTAAACCGTGAATTTGTATAGAAGAGAAAGTAGAGATTTAAGCTAGTGTGTCCTAAAGATTTCTTGAGAAATTTATGTTCGCTCTCAGAAGGGGACATCTTCCATGAACCTGGTGTGTAAAGAGAAAACAGTTCATTCCCCGTGGGTTCTTCAGCTGGTATGTGTGGTCACTGCACTCAATGGCAAGAACCAGTGTGCCCTTAAACGTGAGACCCATGAAGACTCATGCTCTTCCTTGGAAAGCCCCATGTCTGAGTTGGGGACAGGCAGCTCATGCTCCCCTGTCCCGACCTCGGGAGCCATCTTAGCTCACAGGGTAATTCATGGTCTTGGGCTGTGTAGAGCTGTGGGGCTTCCCAGTCCTTAATTCTGAACAACCACAGGACTATAAATCTCATTCCAGGATTTTTTCTCTTAAAGACTTATTTTATTATTTTCAATATTTTTATGGGTATGCTTGAGTGTGTATGTGCAGCTGCTCAAAGAGTCACTGCAATCCTTGGAGCTGGAGCCACAGATCATCGTGAGCAGGTTCATGAAAGTGCTGGGAACTGAACCCTAAACAGGTAGCTAGAGCTCTATATACCTGTTAATCCAGCTCTCTAGACTTCCTACTCACCCCCACTTTTTTCTTTAAGTCAAGGGCTCACCTGTAGGCATACGTGTTTTCTTTGTATTCTGTACTGAGGTGGGATTCTACAGATAAATACATAAACAAACAAACAAATCTCTCCCGAGAAGAACTTGGTATTTCCTAAAGCCCTGGAAACTCACTCTGTTGATCAGGCTTACCACAAACTTACAGTCATCCTCCTGCCTCTGCCTCCTGAGTGCTGAGATTAAAGGTGGTAGATCTCAAAAAATTAATAAATTAATTAATTTAGGCCAGTTGAGAGACAAAGTCTTATGTGGTCTAGGTTTGTTTCCAACTTATTACATTTCTGAGAATGACTTTGAACTTGTGATCCTCCTGCCTCTGCCTTCCTAGTTATGGGGTTGCAAATGTGTGCCCCCAGGCCTGGCTTACACTTTTACTTTGTTTCAGTGTCGGATATTAAACTTGAGAGCCCTGTGCATGCTAGGGAAATGCTGTCATGAACTACATTCCTAGCTCTTTAATTTTCTTTTTTCTTTGTGGTTTTTGAGTCAGTATCTCTCTATGTGATCCCAGCTGTCACGGGACTTACTATGTAGATTAGGCTGTCCTGAATTTACAGAGATCTGCCTGCCTCTGCCTCCTGAGTGCTAGGATTAAAAGTGTGCACCAGCACACCCACCCCAGAAGGTTTTCTTTCGCATTTACACTTACTACAAAGAGAGCAGAGCATGGAATTGAAACTCGGAAAATAGACAGAAGTGGTTTTAGTCTGCTTTTTTATTTACTATCTAGATGAACCTAAGTTATTTTGTGTGATTTCCAGGCATATTTTTGAATACATAAGGATTGGCTAGGGATGCAGCACAGTTGGTAGAATGGTTGCCTGGCAACACAACACCCTAGGTGAGATCCCTAGCACATAAACTGAGTGTGGTGGTGCACACCTGCAATCCCAGCTCTCAGGCTGAGGACAGGAGCATTAGCAGTCGAGGTCATCCTTGCCTACATGGTGGATTGGAGGCTAGCCTGGGATAGCACACTAGACCCTCAAAAAATAAAATTAGAATAATAGTTACTTCCGTGGGTTTTGAAGAATAAGTCACATGGCAGAGCATCTGGCCCACAGTAAGTAAATGCCCCCCACTCCGCAACTGTTAGTGTATAGGATGGAAGAGGAGATGGTATCAATTATGCTAACCTATTGAGTACACCTAGATTTTTGGATAATCTTCCCCAGCGCCTCAGTTTTATTTTCCTTTATAGATTTTTAAAAAATATATTTTCTGTATGTGGGTGTGTTGTGTGCATGTACATCTGCACACCAGAAGAGAGCATCATATCCCATTCTAGATGTTCCTAGGCTGACATGTAGTGCTGGGAATTGAACTTAGGTCACTGCATCTGTGCAGGCAGCTCAAGCTGCACCTGTTGCTCCCCAGACCTGTTCTTGGACAGGGCAAGGCCTGGATTTTGGGTGGGACAAGACCAGGTGGCTTTGGGGGTAGAAAGGTAGAGGACTGGGCAGTTGTTCTTTAAATGAAAAGAGAAACTGAGAACTGCTACATCCACGGCTGTCACGCCAGTGTAGCAGAAATGCTGACTGGACGGACTGTTGCCATAGGATTGGGATTTGCGCTTCATGAAGCTATGTCCCTGGCTGTCCCTTGGCAATCAGTTGTGGTCATGACACCACCTGAAGTTGCTACCTGCACTTATTCGACCTCGCTGTCCTTGGTGCCGATATGTCTGTGTTTTATTCTTGCATATTGCCAACAGATCAGACTATTCCAGGCAGTTGCAGATACAAACAAGACTGCTGAGGACATTTTGAGCTCTGCCCCACCATTCATTAAAGCCTTAAAGGAAATAGCCAGTTCTGGGAATTGGGAGTCCATCCTAAAAATAATTCCTTAATGATGTGGAGCAAAAGGAGTTGCTCTTCAACCCCCATTAGACATTTACCTGAGGGATACGTGCAGTTTAACAGGAGACTTATGCAGTCTTCCTTATGGTCAGAAAAAGACCTAGGCTAATTACAACATCTGACCCTGAGAGTCGGGGAAGGAAGAGAGTTGAGATTTATGGTATGAGATGAGTTTCAGACAAGTTTGAGATCATGTCTTTAAAATTTCCTAGCAGAAAGTTTTCCCAGGAAGATAGTGGCCTTCTCCTCTCACACCCCAAGATATTCTGAGCACAAGGTCACTTAGCCCAGCCAGCCACCTGGTACAAACTGAGCAAATGTCCTTGTTCCCAAGTCAAAGCATTTTCAAACATTCTCTTTGTAAACTGTTTTATGCTGTTTTTGTTATGATCTGATGATGTATGTCTTTGCCAAGTTTTTTTTTTTGATTGTAAAAGAATATAAATCTTACGCTGAAAAAAATTGCAGCAGCATATTCAACCACGTTGAAGGTGTCTGTCTGTTGTTCCTCGCTGATTTTTGACCTCTCCTGAGCCTTCGCCCTGATTCTCCCACAGTCTGAGTGCCTCCACGAGAGGCAGTCCGTGGCAACGAACCACATAGTCTACACCAGCCAATGGTTCCTGTTGACCAAGGAACCAAGGATTGACCTGTCTATGCCTGTGGGGCCCTGTGATAGAGAAATGGACAGGAGAAGACGTGCTATACTTTTTGTTGCAAAAAGGCTGCCATGTACTTTAGTGGGACAATCACCCTGTGGTGTGTGTTTAGGCACAGTGAAGACTGGAAGCCCTCCAGGATGTAATCCTGACTTCAGTCTGTTTACGGTCAGTCCAGTTAGGTTTCCTATATCCCACTTCCTAGAATGAACACACAGCAGACACTCTTTGAGTCCCATATTTTAGGGCCAAGATGTTGCCTTTAGTGTCCATGTGACACTGCTTCTTTCTCTCTCCTCACCCTTCTCTCTGCTTCTCTCTCTTTCCCTCCCAACACCTCCCCTACCCTCCTCTCCTGTACCTTTTCCTGCCTTATCTCTCCCTCTCCTCTCCCTTTTCTGTGTCTCCAGTCCCACCCCATTTGTATCTCATGATGGCTACTTCTACTCCTCTGATTCTTCTTCTATCTCTTCCTCTTCATCCTCCTCTCCTCCTTCTTTTGCTTCAGTCAGGGTTTCTTTTTGTAATATTCCTTGCTGTCCTGGAACTTGATTTTTAAAACTTAGTTGTCCTTGAACTCAAGAGATCTGCCTGGCTCTGCCTCTGTCTTTCTATCAGAGTGCTGGGATAAATGCCATGACTGGGCTAATCACCCACTGTTGATAGAAGTTTCTGTCCCATCCTGTCCTGTAGCTGTTCAGTCCAATAGAAACACACAAAGGCCTACATTGATTATAAACTGATTGGCCTATTAGCTCAGGCTTTCTTATTAATGAATTCTTACCTCTTACATTAATCCATAGTCCTTGTCTGTGTTAGCCACATTCTTGGTTCCTTTATCAGTGAAGCATTCTCATCATGCTTCCTCTTGCTTTGTCTGTGACAACTGTAGACTGAGCTTTTCCTCTTTCCAGAATTCTCCTATTGTGGTTGCCCTCCCTATACTTCCTGCCTAGCTACTGATCACTCAGCATTTTTTAAACCAATATAAATGACAAATCTTTACACAGTACAAGACCATTGACCCACAGCAACCCACTCTTCAAAGTACTCTGCTAATGGCAATGTCTTTCCTGTTAACCTTCAGTTTCAAGGGCTAGGCGAAGGATGTTCTCTGAAGATCTATTTATGTTTGGTAGACAGAGAAAACAATCACCAATGCTTAGCTCTTTCTATAGGTGCTTTATTGGGAGGCACAGTGTGTAGTAAACACAGCCATTTGGCAGTAGAGGTGTAGGCAGGAAATGTGGCGACAAGTCTAACAGAAGGTATTGAACCCGTTGTCTTTGAAAATTGTGTCAGAAACTTCCCAGAAGATGCAGATGGCAGCCTGGCGGTCACAGTTGCAGATGGCGGCCTCACAGGCATTGTTTTCAACTGCAGAGTAACAAAAGGGGTGTTGAGTGGAGCCTATGACCTTGCTCACTGCCATTTGTAGGCAAAGGAAGCTGGTGGCCCTCCCAAGGGTGCAGACTTAGGCTTGAGAGACAAAGCAAACTAAATATATTGGTTTACCCAAATTGTTGAAACACACTTGTAATAAAAAAAAATTCATCCTAGCACTTGGGAGACAGAGTTAGTAGGATTTCAGTGAATTCAAGGCCAACCTGGTCCAAAGATAGAATCTCAGGAAGCCAGAACTGTTACATAGAGAAACCCTGTCTTGAAAAAACAAAAAAAAAATTTAATGTAGAGCTGGGGAGATGGCACAGTTGATAAAGCAGTTGCCATACAAGCATGAGGGCCTGACCTAGGATGCCCAGCACCCATGTAAGATTCAAGGTGTGGTTAGGGCATCTGTAACTCTATTGAGAAGTGGGGAGCATGGATCCTCAAAACTTGTTGGACAGTCAGGTGATGGAGGGGGGTTAGTAGCTAAAAGTGAGTGTTCTGTTTAGTGAGAGACCCAGCCTCTAAAGACACGGTAGAGAGTAACTGAAGAAGACAGGGGATGCCAACTCATTCCTATGCAGAAAATAAATAAACACGAATATTTAATCCTAAAACCAGGAGAACGACAAATATGAACACCCACTTCCGAAATTATACAATTTAAGACAATCCTCCTGCCTCTGCCTCCCGAGTGCTGGGATTGCTGATGTGAATCACCATGCTCAAATAATGAGTTCTGGGGATGGATCCAGGGTTCTGTGCATGCTAGGCAAGCACTCGAGCAGCTGAGCTACATCCCGGCCCTCTGAACCTCACCTGTAAAATGGGAATGAAAAATCTTGCCCAGCATAGGTATCTAGTCCCGTGTTTGTCTTGTAGTCATGATATAGTTTTCAGTTGTTTAGTAAATATGGAATCAGTATAACACAGCAACTATATGGAGACACTGGGCAGGCAAGATGGCTCGGGGAATGAAGGTACTTGGTGCCAAGTCTGAACACAAGTTCTGGCTCCAGGACTCACATGGCAGAAGGAGAGAACAGACTCCTGCTTGTTGTCCTCAGACCTCCACCCCTGTGCTGTGGCACAGGCATGAACCCCCCCTCCAGAAATATGTAAAATCTTTAAATGTTTTTTTAAAGGCATTGGAATGATGTCGGGCTGTTTTCCAGAACCAAAAGCCGTTACTTCTAAACTTGGTGCCTTTAAACAAGTGACCAGGTCTTCCTCATCTTCCTCATCAATATTCCCATCGAAATTTTAGTATCTACCTAAGAAGGCTGTGACGATTCAAATGAGATCAAAGTAGTCGTTGCTAAATGTTGACTGTCCTTGTTACTTCCGTGCCCCTTCCAAACATGCCCAGGGCCAAGGAGAATCCCGCGTTCCCGGAGGTGAACCTACCACTGCAGATGAGCTCCCTCCCAGAGCAGGAGTAATAATAGGGGATGTCGTAGCGGTTGTCTTCGGAAATTGTACAGCCTCCAAGCTTCTTTGCCTCTTCGTAGCACCTGTCATGTCTCTCACAGCACCTGGGGAGAGGAAGGAAGAGCTGAGGGTGAGTGAGGACCCACAGGAGGTCAGTTCTCACTTGCAGTCTCTCTCAAACCTGTCAGGATAATTTAAACAACACATAGTCCAGAAGAAATGGTCCTGAGGCTTGATAACCTCTGATTTCTATTAGTCCTTATTTATTGAAAGCAACTTGTGTGTGGTTTCTGTCCTCAATCCCAGTACTTGGGAGACAGTGGCAGTTGGTTCTCTGAGTTCAAGAAAAGTCAAGGATACAAGAGTAGATGCTGTCTCAAAAAAGTGATTTTTAAACAAAGCTGCAGGAATATAGTGAAATTATAAATTCTCAAGATTCAATGACTTTTTAAAGCCAAGGCTGGGACTTTGATCGTGACTATGATGGCCGTGCCCTGGACTGGAGCCTGAGGACAGCTTTGCCCACTCTTTACATCTCACAATTCTGCTTTCAGGGACCACTAGATACAGGGTCCTTCTGTACCAATTTCTTTATATGACAAGACACCTCTTGAATATACATGCTCGGTGGTTATGCAGGCTTTTAATATGAGCATTCATGAGGCAGAGGCTGGAAGATCTCTGAGTTCAAAGCCAGATTCGTCTCTAGAGTGAGTTTTGGGACACCTGGGGCTACACAGAGAACCGCTGTTGGAAAACAAGCAAAAATAAATAATAAATAAACCAAACAAAATACACGATGTTTGGTGAATATGCCCGTTTTCCTGTTCATACCTCATGAGATGCTGTGTTTGTGTCCTTTCCCCATCCCAGTGCAGACAATCCAGTCCCCACCAGATGCATCACTCACCTGGCTATATCATCCACATGGGGGCTGAAGTTGGGGGTGTGACACATGAAGCCAAATATTTTGGACACTGGCCATGGATGAATGTTCATCGTAGAGATATTACTCTTGGAGTAACAGTCAAAGGCAGTTCCAAACCTCTGAGCAGTCTGATGGCTGATGCTGTGTGCAGTAGCGCCTGCTGCAAGAACACACAGCACATCCAATAAACCCCACTTGGCTCTACCCTGGGTCTGATGCCTGCCTGCCAGCTTCCTCCTTGACTACTCCCAGCTGCTGCATCAGGAAAGCAGTGAATAGAGAGTGTGTGTGTGTGTGTGTGTGTGTGTGTGTGTGTGCGCACACGTGTGCACTTGGGTGTGTTGGCCTGCACACAGGGTGGCAAGCACGTACTTGGGAGTACTCATCAACGTGACACTACGTAAGAGGAGGTCAGAGGACAGCTTTAGGGAGTTGCTTTTCTCCTTCTACTATGTAGCTCATGGAGACCAAACTCAAGTCACCAGGCCTAAACAGGAAGGTGTCTAACTTTTTAAGACAAGGAGTTGCCCTGTAACTCAGGCTAGCTTCAGACTCTGTAGCATCCCCCTGGCCTCAGTGTCCCAACTGGTAGTATTATAAATGTACACCACTGCACTGGGCTGGGTTGACTCTCCAAGACTGAGTTCTAAACACATTGCCTTTTGCCTTGCTTGCCTTCTCATTTCTGACTGTAATGGCAGACAGTGGTCACACTGTGAGCTGCCCTGTGGTCCCTGTGTTGAGGAGCTAAGAACACTCTGCAGTCAGCAGCCAATTACCCAGCAATCCATCCATCTCTTGAGTTTGAGAACTCCCCCATTTTTACTCAAGCTCAGGTGAAACCCTAGCCTCAGCCAGCAGTGGGATTCAACACCGTTCTAGCTGAGACTTTGAGCCAGAGAAGCAGCCAACACCTGCTCATTGTCTTACACTGGAGAATCAGAAGGAATCTGTTGTATGACCACGCACAGCTCATATACAAGGCTAATGGTCAGATCATCACGTGTGACGTCAGCACATGACATAACAAACTGTTCATCAGCTGAGGAGCAAGTAAATGAGACAGGATTCAGTGTGCAGTGGGATACTTGGTCCCCATTAAAATGAAGGAGAAGCCAGGTACAGTGGAGTACACACTGTGTAATCCCAGCAATCTGGATGCAGATGCAGGTGGATATCCTAGATCAAAGTCAGCGTGATCTACAGATTTATTTTCAGGACAGGCATAGAGAAACTGTCTTGTTAACAACCAAACAAACAAAAACAAAACACAATGAAAAAAAATTTCAGAAGGATGTCAGGCACCTATTTATCCTAACAGTTTGAAGGTGTAGGCAGGAAGGTTTCAAGTGCGGACAATAGGGTTGAGCTGGAGGACATCCTGATCCACACGTTAAGGTCATGTAAAACAACAATAGGGGCTGGAGAGATGGCTCTGCAGTCAGGAGCACTTGCTGAGCTTTGTAAGATCCAGGCTCTGGTTCCAGCACCCACGTGACAGCTCACAATTGTCTATGAGCTCAGTTCTGGAAGATCAAACCCTTCCTCTGGCCTCTGTAAACACTGCTCATACACAGTTCACAAACAGACATGCAGATCATACACTCACACCCATAAAATAAAAATAAATACCTTTTAAAATTATAAGAAAATATCAAATCACCTTGGCATGTTAAGGCCAGGTAAATTGGTGCCAAGGAAATATGGCACAGGCAGAGGGACTTTCTTTACTTTTGAAAGTGAATGTAGTAAACATTATTTTTTGAGCTTGCACATCTCAGCATGACCTTGGCTGTTCTGGACCTCACTCTGTAGACCTTGCTGGCATTGAACTTACAGAGATTCACATTAATTTGCTTCTGAAATGCTAGGATTAAAGGCAAATACCACCAACACCTGGCTGCAATGAACTTTTCCAAGTAGTCTTGTAAGGTCAGATTTGGAGGTTCAATGTGCCAGCTGTTGAGGACATGAGGGTGAGGAGGGAACCCCAATCTAGAGGCTATTAGACCCCAATAGGATCAGGAAAACAAAACTTCAGGTGTGACAAATGGGAGCTTGCACTTGAAGAGAAGGCTGATGGTGGGGTCGCTCAAAGAGGACAGGGGTCCTACCTGTGAGCAGAGTGACCAGCAGAAGGAGTTTCATCTTGAGTGAGAGGAGGACACAAGTGACTTCTCTCTTTTCAGTCCTGTAGCTGTGCTCTGACAGGGTGCAGTCAGCAGGCGGGGTCTGTGACTACTGTGTGTGTAGCACAGAAGTAGACTATGTCCACCCTCACAGACAGTGCTGACCGGCAGAGCTGCTGTAGATGGTGGCAGAGCCTGAATCAGTGCTGTTGCAGAGGCGCAGATAAAGGGCTGGCTCAACACCCCACACCAACGTCAGTGCAGTGACTGGCAAAGTGCCAAGTCCCTCCCTTGTGGAAGCCATGAAGTCATAAGGAGACATAGACATTGCTCCTGGGGTTGGGTCTGAGGGATGCTGATAGTGACGTGTGGTCCCAGTAGGAGTAGCTGGACCCAACAATCCACCATGTTAACTGAATAAAGTAAGTGACAAGTCTGTTCCAACAGCTGACACAGACTTTGGTAGATTCAGTTGCAAACTTGATATTTAATTCACTAACTAAATTATTAATTATTTTTTGTGTGTTTGGGTGCCTGTGCACACACTCATATGAAGATCAGAGGACAACTCTGTGATGTCAGGTCTCTCTTTCCACCTTTACATGGGGTCCTAAAATCAAAGTCAGAACACCAGGCTGACACCTCCACTGGCTGAGCTATTGTAGTAGTCCACAAACTCCATTTAAAACTGGGAAAGTAGCAAGATGGTGGTGGTGGTGCATGCCTTTAATATCAGCACTCAGGAGGTAGAGGCAGGCAAATATTTGGGTTACATGAAAGTCTGAAATTCACTCTATAGTGAATTTCAGTTCAGCCAGAGATACACAAAGAAACCCTGTCTCTAAAAACCAAAAACCAAAATAAATAATTAAAACAGAAAGAAAGCAAATGCAGAAGAGATGAGCCCCCAGGTCAATATGATGCCAACCATCCTTCAGCTGAGGCTCTCCCTACCCAGTGTGTGAAGCTACAGGGACTTGTGAGATGGCTCAGCACTCAAGAGAGCTTCTGCTCTTGCTGAGGACTGGAGTTCAAGTCTCAACAACCACATGGTAGCTTTTGAACAATGTCTGCTGACCCTTGGGTTTGACCATGTCCTATGAAGGAATCTTGCACCTTGTTTCCCTCACTGTTCCCCACTTTCATGGATAAAAGTCATGTAGGGCTAAGGTGAGTTGGTTGTCTTTACACTTAAGCTTCTACCCTTCCAGCGGGACTATGGAAGCCACTACCAGCTACCACCAGACTCTGCACCTTGTCAGGGATCCTGTAGCTGCACCTGTTCCTCACCAGGCCTGACCTTGGGAGGGGTGAGGCCTGAGCTCTGGAACAGGAGTAGGGATGGGGCTGGGTGGAATGGCAGATGACTGGGCAGCTGGTCACTAAAGGAAGAGAGAGACTGAGAACCACGTAGCCTTTAACCAGGCAATGAGAAGTTTCTTCCTAAATCTGCTTGACCAGGGAACCAGAGATTAGCCTGGCTTCATCTATGGGGTCCCATGGTAGAGAAAGGTAGAGAAGACAACATATTCCTTATGTTTATTGAAAGTTAGGTCACTGTGTACTTTAATGGAACAATTATCCTGTGCTGTGTTTTTAGGCACAATGAAGACTGGAAACCCATCAGGACGTAATCCTGCCTTTAGGTAATTTACTGTCAGTCCACTTAGGTTTCACCTGTACCACATCCTAGAATGAGCACACAGCAGAAGCACTTTGAGTCCAGTGTTTTTGGCCCAAGATGTTCCTTTAGTGCCCATGTGACAATGCTTCTTCCTCTCTTCTCCTCCCTCCCGCCTCTCTGTCTTCACTTTCCTTCCCTCCATACCCCTGCCCTCCTTCCCTGCCTCTTCTCTCTGCTCCCCTTCCCCATGTTGTCCCACCTCCCCAGTATGTATTTCATGCTGGTTTCTTCTTACTTTGTTTTTCCAGATAAGGTTCCTTTGTGTAGTACTCCTGGCTGTCCTAGAATTCACTCTTTAGCCCAGTTTGGTCTTGTTCTGAAGAGATCTGCCTTCCTCTTCCTCTGTATCCCAGAGTTCTGGAATGAAAAGCGTGACTGGGTTTACCACTTATTCTTCAAGGTTCTCCATTAATGACAATGTGTTTCCCATTAATCATCAGCTTCTAGGTCTAGAGGGAACGGTGTTCTCTGAAGAGTGTGGTAGACAGAGGATACAGTCATCAATCTTTCTGTTTTACTTTTCTTCTCTTTTCTTTTCTTTTCCTCTCTCTCTCTCTCTCTCTCTCTCTCTCTCTCTCTCTCTCTCACACACACACACACACACACACACACACCTCTGCCTCCTGAGTGCTGGGATTAAAGGCATGCACCATCACCTCCCAGCCATAGCCAAATTCTTTCAATAGGTGCTTTATTCCAGGCTGTGGTAACTGACGCCTTTAATCTCAGCATTTGAGAGGCAGAGGTACACAGATCTCTGAGTTTGAGGCCAGCCTGATATACAGAGCAGGTTCCAGTACAGGCTACAAAACTATATAGAAACCCTGTCTTGAAAAACCAAAAAAACCCAAAAACCCCCAAAATAAAAGTACGTGCTCTATTAGAGAGCACAGTGTGTAGTGAACACGACCAGGCAGGCAGGGATGGTGTAGGCAGTCACTGAGGTGACAAGTCTAACAGTGATGGCCTCTGTACTTCTTGATGTAGGGAGCCTTGGAGAAGCAGATGGCAGCCTGGTAGTAACTGTTGCAGATATAAAGTAAGTCCTCACAGGCATTGTTTTTTTCTGAAGAGAAACAAGAAAGGGAGTTGAGTGGATTCCTTGACCCTGACCCTAATCCCTATGATTTGTAACCAAATGTCACCTGTGGCCCTCCTATTGGTGCAGAGTCAGGGTTGAGAGACAACACAAAAGGACATTGTGTTGTCTAAAGTGCTGGAACACCATATTGGGAGGCTGCTTGTTGGTTCCCAGCCACTCGGCTAACTTAGACCTGAGATAATCATACAGAAACTGTATTAGTTAAATCACTGATTGGCCCATTAGCTCTAGCTTCTTATTGGCTAACTCTTACATATTAATTTAACCCATTTCTATAAATCTGTGTATCACCATGTGGCTGTGGCTTACCAGCAAAGTTTCGGCATGTCTGACTCTGATGATGGGTCCATGGCTTCTCCCTGACTCTGCCCTTCTTTCTTCCAGCACTCAGTTTAGTTTTCCCCATCTGGCTCTGTTCCCCTATAGCTCTGCTATAGATCCAAAGCAGACCTTTATTCATTAACCAATAAAAGCAACACATATGCAGAAGAACCTCCTCCACCAGAACACCTTTATAGTAAAAAGAATCATTTATTATGGGACTGGGGAGAGGGCACAGTTCGTAAAGCAGCTGCCATACAACACAAGCGCCTGACCTAGGATGCCCAGAGTCCCTGTAAAACTCAAGGTGTGCTTGGGGCATCTCTAACTCTTTTGGGAAGTGGGGAGTATGGATCCCCAACACTTGTTGGTCAGTCAATGTAGATAAAGGTACAAGTGTTCAGTTTAGTGAGAGACCCAGCCTCTAAAAACACGGTAGAGAGTGGCTGAAGAAGACACTCATTCCTAAATATAAAAATAAACAAATGGGTGTATTTAATCCTAAAACCAAGAAAACTACAAATATCAAGTACCACTTCTAAAATTATATGATTTAAGACAGTTCTCCTGCCTCACCTCGCTAGTGTTGGGATTTCAGGTGTACACCAGCCCACTCAATTTATGGGGCCTAGAGGTGGAACCCAGGGCTGTGTGCATGCTAGGCAACAGCTAAGCACTCTGTTAGCTGAGCTACATTCCCAGCCCTCTGAACCTCACCTGTAAATGGGAATGAAAAATCTTGTCCTGCATAGGTGTTTAGTACAGTATTTGTCTTGTAGTCATGGTATAGCTTTCAGCTGTTTAGTAACTATGGAATCAGTATAACCCAACAGCTAAATGGTGAGACTCTGGGCAGGCAAGATGGCCCAGGGAATAAAGGTAAAGCGAGACAACTCAGATCTGAATAGACAGAAACTATATTAATTACAGCGTTGCTTGGCCAACAGCAGAGACATATTTCTAGCTAGCTCTTATATCTTAACCCATTTCTATCAATTTTTGTATTGCCATGAAGTTGTGGCCTACCAGTAAAGTTCCTAAGGTTCTGGTGTGCCCTTCTCATTGGGCAGCTACATGGTGTCTCCCTGACTCCACCTATTCTCTCTATATATCTCTGTTCTGATTTCCCACCGGGCTTTACTCTGCTAAGCCATTGGCTAAAACACCTTTATTCATCAACCAATGAAAGCAACACTTATACAGACAGACATCCCACATCAAATAAAGGCACTCGCTGCCTAGTCTGAACTTGAGTTCCATCCCCAGGACTCACATGGTTGAAGGCATATTTGTGGCACAGGCATGCCTCCCCTAGATATACATAAAATCTTTAAATGTTTTTTAAAAGATGCTTTGGAATGATGCAGACCTGTGTTCCAGAACCAAACACCATCACTTCTAAGCTGGGTGACCTTGGACAAGTGGTCTGGCGATTTACGTCTTCCTCATCAATGTCCCCGTCTACACTTTGGTATGTACCTGATAATGCTGTTATGATGTCAAATGAGACCAAGAAATGACCACTAAATGGTGACTGTTCTTGTTACCTTCCTGTCCCTTCTAGCCTCACCGAGGGCCAAGCAGAGTCAGTGTTCCTGGAGGGTAAACCTACCCCTGCAGGTGACATCATTCCCAGAGCATGAATATTGTAGGAGCTGGGGTAGGGGTTGTCTAGCAGGAATTTACAGCTTTTCACATGCATCACCTGAGAGTAGCCCTGGTCCTGAGTCTGGCAGCACCTGGAGAGAGGAAGAGCTAAGGAAGGACCCTCAGGAAGTCAGTTCTCACTGTATTCTTCTCAAACATGACAGGATGACTTAAACAATGTTCCAGAAGTGATGGTCCCCAGGCTCAAGAATCTCAGATTTCTATTAAGCATAGATTTATTGAAAGCAACTTAGTGGCAGACGGATCCCTGAGTTTGAGATCAGCCAGGGATACATAAGTGAGACCTGTCTGAAAAAAAAAGTGGTTTTTTTTCTAGACAGGGTTTCTTTGTAGCTTTGGAACCTGCCCTGGAACTCATATTGTAGACTAGGCTGGCCTTAAACTCACAGAGACCTGCCTGTCTTTCTGCCTCCAGAGTGCAGGGATTAAAGGCATATGCCACCACTGCCTGGATAAAAAAAAAAAGTGATTTTTTTTAACAAAGCTGCAGGAATATAGTGAAATTATATATTCCAAAATTTCAATGACTTTTTAAAGCCGAGGCTGGCACTTTGATGGTGGCTGTGATGGCCGTGCCCTGGTCTGGAGGTTGAGGACAGCATTGCCCACTCTTTACATCTCACACATTCTTCTTTCAGGGACCACTACATACCGGGTCCTCTTAGACTGATTTCTTTACATGACAAGAAGGGAAGACACATGCTGGGTGTGGTGGCACACACCTTTAATCTGACACTCGGGAGGCAGAGGCTGGAAGATCTCTGAGTTCAAGGCCAGCATGGTCTGCAGCGAGTGTTCGAGGACAATTAGGACTACACAGTGAACCCCTGTCTGGAAACAAACAAACAAAAATAATAAATAAGTAAAGCAAAATATGTGCTATATTGTGAACATCCATGTCTCTGTTCATGCCTCATGAGATGCTCTGCTTGTGTCCCGGCCCCACCCCAACGCAGACATTCCAGTCTCCCACCAGATGAATTAATCGCCTGTCTAATTCATCCACCAGGGTGTCGGATCCCCCCCCCCAATCCACAGTAGCAGCTATGGTAGTTGTACTCCGTAATGGGATTTAAAAAAAAAGGGGGGGTTGGTGCACTGGAAACCATTTCTGAACCTCCACACAGCCTGACAGCTGATGCTATGTGCAGTAGCGCCTGTGGCAAGAATGCACAGCACATTCCAGTAAACCCCACTTGGCTCTTCCCGGGGTCTGATGCCTGCCTGCCAACTTTCTCCTTGACTCCTACCAGCTGCTGCATTGGGAGTGCAGTGAATAGAGGTGTGTGTGTGTGTGTGTGTGTGTGTGTGTGTGTGTGTGTGTGTATGTGTGTTTGTGTGTGTATGTGAGAGAGAGAGACAGAGACAGAGAGAAAGAGACAGAGAGAGAACGAATTTGTAAGCACATTGGAAGTCAGAGGACAGCCCTGTGGAGTCAGTTCTTCTCTCCTTCTACCTTTAAGTGGGTTCCAGGAATTGAACTCAAGTCTACAGGTTGCACCATAGACTGCATCTTAGTAGCCCACAAACTCCATTTTAAAACTGAGAATGTAGCGCTATGGTTGTGGTGGTGGAAGCCTTTGATGTCAACACTCAGAAGACAGAGGCAGGTGAGTATCTGTGTTTGAGGCCAACCTGCTCTACAGAGTGAGTTCCAGGACAGCCACAGTTTCTCAAAAACAAAACAAAACAAAACAAAAAAGCAACAAAAACCCCACTGTCTCCAAAACAAACCAAAAGCCATAAACTAAAAATAAAAAAGAAAGAAAGATAGCAAATTCCAAACAGATGAGCTCACAGGCAAATATGGGCTCATCCTTCAGCTGAGGCTCTCCCTACCCAGTGTGTGAAGCTGACAATCAACCACTACAGAGGCCGGAGAGATGGCTCAGCACTCAAGAACACCTTCTGCTCTTGCTGAGGACTGGAGTTCAAGTCTCAGCAATCACATGGTGGGTGTTGAACAATGTCTGCTGGCCCGATGTCCTCACCCCTTGGGTTTGGACATCTTTCATGAACTCTCTAACTTAGGACCCTAGCACTTCTTTTCCCCCACTGTTCCCCATTTCCATGGAGAAAAGCCATGTAGGGGTGAGTTGAGTTGGTTGTCTTCACACTCAAGTTCCCCTTGCTCTTCCAGCGGGACTATGGACTGTCACTGACAGCCACTACTAGCCACTGAGCCTGGGCAGGGGGCCCTTAGCTGAACCTGTTCCTCACCAGGCCTGACCTTGGGGGCCGAGGTCTTAGCTTTGGAACAGGAGTGGGAACAGGAGTGGGAATGGGTCTGGGGCTGGAAGGGCAGATGGCTGGGCAGCTGGTCACTAGAGGAAGAGAGAGACTGAGAACCACGTAGCCTTTAACCAGGCAATGAGAAATTTCTTCCTAAATCTGCTTGACCAGGGAACCAGA